TGACTTACAAGAATGAATCCAATCGGGATGAAGGTTAAATACATTGGTTCTTTTAAAAAATGTTCTTAATAATTTGTTATTAAATTTCTTGTAATTCAAAAATGAATATAGATATTTTTTTTTGGTGTTAATAGATTAATAGTTTTAATGATTGAGTTTTGTTTTTCTAGAGAAGTAAAAAATGTATTTGGCTTCAGCAGCATGCTTACATCATGTTCAAATTCCTTTGATTTTACGGGAGGACAAGAAGAAGCAGACCATGCAGTGTTTTTCTTCTTGATCAATTTAAAAGTGGAACCTGCCGTCGCCGCCACCTGTGCGAGATCGAGACAATCACCCGCACAAACAACCACCTGCCACTCCTCCCCTTGCCGTTTTTTCTACATTACTATAATGACCCTGTTCTAGATGTTCACCGTGGGTGGTTGGAGGGTGCTCTGGTGTGGTTTGCTTCTTTTTCCTATCAAACATCTGTCATCCTTATCTCCCCTCCTTTTTAAAAAATGTTTGTTACTCTCTTGTAACACCTCTAATCTTCTGGCGCTCACATGACCTTATTTATGCAGTTGCGAGCGCTGTAAACCCTCTACTAAACCAAACAGATGTTCACCTGTCAAAGACAACCACTTTTCTCTTCAACAATGGCTGGCTGTTTTGGACAATTTTGACGTCTGCATTAAACTCATTTTGTGTTCATGCATGTATTTTGATGGTTATTGAACAATGGTAGAACATAACACTCGGCAGCTGGGCGTCTTGTTGAGTTGATGGTTAGAGTTTATATAATTTTATTCTTTTAGTGATCATTTTTCCGAGTAGTTTCAGTGGTATTTAGATGGGCTAAGAAAGAAATTGCCCGACCCTCGCCCGTCTTGCTTGCAAATTTATTTTAAATATACTTACTTGGCAATGTAGGGCGATCTTTTAGCTTGTGAGAGTTTGTCTGTGATGGTACGAGGTTCAACAACAACTTGACGTTCTCTACATTCTCTCCCTTGTCGTGTAGTCGGTCGGTGCTTCTCTCGGGTTCTACGTCTTGCCGCGGGGCTTGTTGTGTGTTGGCGTTGGCCTGTTCTTTGGGGT